ATCCAAATCATTTAAAGTCGGATGAACTGGCTTATAAAATTCAGACAAGAGATGTTGATGTGCCAAATACAGTTGAAGAAAAAAGGAAGGTTCTTCGTGTACTTTTAACATAGGAAGTTTTTTATCGTAGCTTTTCACCTGCCTCGAATAACTTGTCATTCGAAGAAGATTTCAAAGGTGCAACAACAACTTTAAAGGAATTGAATACACTTATAAACAATTTCACTGGCACAAAGAACTCATCACCATATAAACAGTTAATGGATAGATTGACACATTTGTCTGGTAGGATTTCCAAATTGAATGCTACTAAGGAGGAGTAATTAAAAATTAAGCGAGAAATTAGGAACAACCTCGTCAACTTAGAAGGAGTTTTGGCTGAGAAAATCCAAGTGGACTTACAAGAGGACGCTAACGATGAAATGCTTCCCCAAACCGCTTCTACGCCTATTGCATCAAGATCCTTTGGTACTGTTGTTAAATCCGTCCCGATTTACAAATGGGGAATTAAAAAGTTTTCCGGTCGAGAACAAATTATTTCGTTTTTAGAGCAAATTGAAGCATTAAAAACTTCAAGAGGATGTACGGACCAGGAGTTATTTCTATCTGCTGGAGACCTTTTTGAAGACTCTGCATTTGTTTGGTGGCACAATCATTTTATTAAGAGATCTTTTCACGATTGGTCAGAACTTGTTACAGCTCTCAAAAATACCTATTTGCCTGAAGATTATGAACGTAATTTATGGGATCATATACGTTCTACCAAGCAGTTTTAGGGAACCCGTTACTACTTTTATTTCAAATTTTGAAGCGCTTTTCCACAGGTTTTCAAATAAAGTAGAAGAATGTAAAATGGTTTTGGAAATAAAAAGAGGCCTTATTCCAGACTACATTAAAGCCTTAGCCTTGCAAGAAGTGAGCACAATTGCAGACTTAACAAAATTTTGTAGAGAAATAGAGTCAGCTTTATCTATGTCTACTATAAGGATTAAAAATCCTACGTTTCATAAAAGATTTCAGGGGACCAATTCTTTACAAGTGATTTGCTGGAATTGTGGTATTAAAGGACACTCATTCCCGGAGTATAGATCTGAACGTACCATATTTTGCCATGGTTGCGGTAGGAAAAATGTCTATAAGAAGAATTGTAGTCGCTGTTCACAAAAAGGAGCAATCTGGTGTCAACAGCCACCAGCCCCGTCTAGGTCGAGCACAGAAATGCCGACAACAAAAGACAAGCACATTCCAGGAAAATCTCTACAAAAAAGGTCACGACAATAATTGTCTCTTTTTCTAAATTTAATTCAAACATAATATAGACAAAAGTGTATCTAATTTATTACCTACTTATTCTTCAAAAGTTGACGATTCTTATGATGAGACTATCATTTCTTTGAGTAATAATTTGGCTTCAGATAGTAATTTAACTTTATTTCCAATTTGGCCTTCTGAGAAACTAACTACTTATCCATTGTTGGACAAGCACGGTTCTGATAATCGTCCATATATATATATATATATATATATATATATATATATATATATATATATATATATATATATATATATATATATATACCGGGTGGTGAATCGTCAAACGGGCCATAGGAAACTCAAAGAGAAATTTTAAATTGTTGAATTGCTGCTTCTCTAATTATTTTTGATCAAAAGTCATAAAAAACTATTTGTAGAGGACTAAAATTTGAATTAAAAACAAATGTTAAAACCGTTCTACGAATCAAATGTACTTTAAAATTTTGCAAAAATTAAATACATTTTTCAGACCACCCCTAAAAGTTAGGCCACACGTAATGCAAGAATATATATTAGGACGTGTGTGTTTTATCATATTGATGTCAGATATTTGACAATTTGAATTGACAATTTTTTTATTTTGTGATTAAATTATAAACAATGAATTTTACTAAATACTACTACTACAGAACATTATTACTTTGTGAACAATAAATTATATTGTTTACAAATCGATCAATATAATAAAATGTACTCAGTTGACGAAAAATCACATAATGTTGTATTCAGGCAATAGCGCGAACCTTTTCCTGCCACTACCGGATCTTTATTTAACGTAAGATATTTTAATTCACTAAAATTTAATTCCATGTTAAGTTAAGTTATACAACAATTTAATGAATTCCAATATACTGTTACTGTGATCTTTATTCCTAATAATAATAATAAATGATAATTTCTAAACATAAAACTATAACAAATGTTATAATAAAACATGAATAAAACATTTTTATTATTGCTTTTTCTCCTCAACTGAGTACATTTTTTATTCAACTTAATTTTTTTTTATCAATAAATCACAAAATTTTGGCCATTTAAATTATAGATAAATGTAATATAATTAATTTAAATATTGTCAAATATCAGAAACAATAATATGACAAAACGCAACACGTAATACACATTTTTTCACAGAAAAATGTATTATATTTTAGCAAAATTTTGGAATACGTTGAAGTCGTAGAATAATTTTAACAGTTGTTTTCGATACATATTTGAGTCCTCTACAAATAGTTTCCCATGAGTTTTGGTGTAAAATAATTAGGGAAGCAGGAATTCAACAATTTAGAATTTCCCATTGAGTTTCCTATGGCCCGTTTGACGATTCACCACCCTGTATATATATATATATATATATATATATATATATTATATATATATATATATATATATATATATTTCAGTAGATGGAGAGGTTATTTCTGCACTTTTGGATTCAGGTAGCAATGTTTCTATCCTGGGTTCATCATCGTTGTATTTATTGAAAAAGTGTAAGCTCACTTTAAATTATGATGTTTCTATTTGCTTAACAACAGCTGATGGTAGTCTTCAAAATACTATCGGTTGTGTTGATTTGTTGATTGATCAGTTGCGGTGTTGACACTTTTTGTACTTCATTATTTTGAATTTTAAAGTGAATATCTTTTGTTTTATATTTTTAACTATCTAATAAAATCTGTTCTTTTTAGAACAAAATTAGTGTTTTATTTCAAAAATGTAGCGTAAGAATTTAAATAGTCGTTGTAAAGAGATGGTAATGCTTTTGCAATAATTATGTAATCTATTTGATTTAAAATGGAGTCAGGATTTTTTTATACTTTGGCAACTATGTCAACTTCGATCTCTGACGTAGATAATGACATAAGTCGTTATCTAAATTAGATGAAGTATATATATCTAATAATGGCAAACTAAAAGCATATACATATTTCAACACATTTTTTATTCCTGGAAAGGAATAATTGTAGGACATATATTTATAAGTGCACAACACAAGAATATTATTTGGTCGTTATTCTAAATTTATTTCGGATCATTCCAATAATTCTTTCTACATTAATTCTGACATGTTTGATCGATTTGGTTTCTTCCAAGTCAACTGGATGCATTTGGGTTTTTTTCTTCGTAAATTCAGGAATTTTTACTGACGCATGAAACAATTTCACAAATTCTTTGTTTAGGAATCCTTTGTCAGCCATACTCACATTCCCTGGCAGCAAATTGTTCACAAAATCAGATTCAATTTAATTTAAAGACTATGTAAACAAACCTTTTAAACTAATTTTTTCAGTTTCACTACAGAAGTTTTTTTGAAAAAGTCCTAAGCTTAAACATTTTAGTCCGTTTTTCAATGACTGAACTGATAATTTAACTCACAATTTATATAATTAATCAAATAATGCTATTAACTTTCAATACGACTCAATAGTTTGTTTGCCTTCCAGACACCATATTGGATTTAATTTGACAGCTCGTTGGACTGCCCCATAGGGGAGTCCAACACATAACCTCAAACCGAACTGGCAAAATGTCTGGAGGGCAAACAATGGATTGAATAACATTGTGATTTGCAGTAATAGACAAATATTTAATTGTAGTTATCCAAATATAATTAGTAGATGACCTAATAATTGATAAAAAGCAATTTTCTTTAATATAATTCTAATTCACATTGATTACATCAAAATATTTATAATTTAATGAGGTAAGTTGAAAAGTTCATACTAGTTTAGTTAAATCCTTTAACAACCACAATTATTGTCAATATATCCTTATAATGATTGATAAGAATGTACTTTTATATATTAGCATATTCGGCATATCGCTAATATTTCTCAGTTATAGATTTAGCTTCATTTAAACATTTTAGTGTTAACACAAAATGAGCTGCTGAAATTATAATAACATATTTTTATCAATAAAATTTTAACATTTTTGAACTAAGTGAGACTCAAAATATTTTTTATAATATAGTATAGACATTTACACCTTTTTAATTGATAAGAAACCTAACTGTTTATTAATTTGATGAATGTTATTTTGTTTTAGAAATAGATCGAAGTCATTACTTCAATAACTTGAAATTATGATGTAGCAAGCTGATATCTAGAGAAATTAAAACTAATCAACAACATAGATCCATATACTATTTCAGAAATTGAATTAAGTTACAATCCAAATGATTTTCCCTAAACAAGTAGCATAGATGTAGTGAGCTATCTAGTGTTGAGCACCAGTTTTTACACACAACATCAAATTAAAGCTTACAAATACTTAAAAGCAGGTTTTGTGAGTAATTGTGGGTCAAAAGTTATAAATGACAAGTGACATTAGGGAAAGTGAGTATAGCATTTGAGGAGCAAATGTTTTTTGCTAGTTGTTACAATATGTTAATTTGTTCTTTTATTGTTACAGATTAAACATTCACAAAAAATGAACGAGCTACCACTACAAGCATGGGTTAGGTGTAACCAAGATGGAAGTATAGAAACAGGACATTGTACATGAATGGCAGGTGCAGAAGTGTATAGCCATGTTGGTGTGATATTATATGCACTACAATATATAGCTGCATCAAAAGATAATATAGCATGTACAAAACTGCAAAGGTTGAATGTAAACCAATTAGAGGTATTGATTTTGGCAAAATATTTTCTGGATCATGAATTCCCTCAGAAGTGCTTTGCATGAATGATGACCATATTGTACAGTTTTTGACTGATATCGAAAAAGCTGGAAGTTCATCCGTTTTAAGCAAAGTGACAGAACCATTTGCTGAACGAATGGCTGAGTCATTAAGAAGAATGTTGATATCACCAATTAACCCATTTTCTTTGTTATATAATTTTATACACATAGGTACATTCAGTTAATTAAAGTTGTTGATAACTTGGTTATAAGTTAGGATGAAAGTAAATGTATAACCATTGAAAAGAGTACATGAGACCAAAGTAAGTCAGAACAATTGTTGCATCAATGAAGAGGAAGAATAACAGTACCGAATTTTAAAGCAGCTGCCAATTCTCGCATTGAAAAACCGTCATTATTCCTAATTAAAACTATATGTTATCCAGTACAACGTTTGTTCAAAACCAGTGCAACAGAGTGGGGGAAAAATTATAAAAAAATGCAATAGAACCTTTCCGAAAATATTCATATAGTACCCATGAAAATCTAGTCATAAACATGCTGGATTTTTCATTAAGCCTGAATTTCCACAACTTGGTGCAACTCCTAAGTTGTTATTTTGTTTCAGAAATGGATCGAAGTCATTACTTCAATAACTTGAAATTATGATGTAGCAAGCAGATATCTAGAGAAATTAAAACTAATTAACAACATAGATCCATATACTATTTCAGAAATTGAAAGTTACAATCCAAATGATTTTCCCACATTAAGTAGCATAGATGTAGTGAGCTATTTAATGTTGAGCACCAGTTTTTACACACAACAGCAAATTAAAGCCTACAAAAGACTGCAAGCATACAAATACTTTGAAGCAGGTTTTGTGATTCATAAGGTGTAAATGACTAGTGACATTAGGGAAAGTGAGTATAGCATTTGAGGAGCAAATGTTTTATACTAGTTGTTACAATATATTAATTTGTTTTTTTTTATTGTTACAGATTAAACATTCACAAAAAATGAAAGAGCCACCACTACAAGCATGGGTTGTGTGTAACCAAGATGGAAGTGTAGAAACAGGACATTGTACATGTATGGCAGGTGCAGAAGTGTGTAGCCATGTAGGTGCGATATTGTATGCACAGCAATATATAATAGCTGCATCAAAAGATAATATATCATGTACGGATGTGAGGTCCCTCTGGAATGTGCCCAAAACTGCAAAGGTTGCATGTAAACCAATTAGAGGTATTGATTTTGGCAAAATATTTTCTGGATCATGAATTCCCTCAGAAGTGCCTTGCAAGAGTGATGACCATATTGTACAGTTTTTGACTGACATCGAAGAAGCTGGAAGTTCATCTGTTTTAAGCAAAGTGACAGAACCATTTGCTGAACGAATGGCTGAGTCATTAAGAAGAATGTCGATATCAACATTTAACCCATTTTCTTTGTTATATAATGACAAGTACATTTTCTACACATACATTCAGTTAATGAAAGTTGTTGATAACTTGGTTATCAGTTAGGATGGAAGTGAATGTATAAACATTGAAAAGAGTACATGAGACCAAAGTAAGTCAGAACAATGGTTTCATCAACGAAGAGGAAGAATAACAGTATCGAGTTTTAAAGCATCTGCCAATTCTCGCATCGAAAAACTGCCATTATGCCATTATCCCTAATTAAAACTATATATATGTCATCCAGTACAACGTTTGTTCAAAAGTAGTGTAAGAGAGTGGAGGAAAAATAATAAAAAAATGTAATAGAAGCTTTCCGAAAATATTCATATAGTACCCATGAAGATCTAGTCATAAACATGCTGAATCTTTCATTAAGCCTGAATTTCCACAACTTGGTGCAACCCCTAATGCAGTGGTTTTTTGCATATGTTGCAGTGGGGGATGCTTAGAAGTGAAATGTTCTTATTTATTAAAAGATATGTCAATAGCAGGGTTCATAAACTTATCTTCAATAGACAACATAAATATCACTATTAAATGTCTCTTTCCAATGTTTAATATTGCCATTTTGTAATATGGTCTCTGTAAAACTCAGTAAAATAATAAACAAAGAAATCCGAAAAGACATACGGTAACATAACATGAGAGAGGTGACAAGGGTGATAGAGAAAAATAAAAGTCTGAAAGTTCTAAGACACAACATGTCCACAGGAAAAAAGAACATACATAAGTTAAGAAATAAACAAGACGACATTGTGATTGATAAGGAAAAAATAGTGAAAACAGTGGAAGACTTCTACAGACAACTCTATGAAACAAGTGAATCCGATGAAAGACGCCCTTTACCAAAAATAGAAAATCAAGGCTCAGAATTAATGCCGAACATAACTATTGACTATTGAATAAACAGATTGGAAGCTTTCGAAATGTGGCTTTATCGCCGTATCCTAAAAATACCATGGACAGCGAAAATCACAAATATAGATGTCCTTAAAAGAATAAACCAAGAACACCAACTTTTCGAAACCATCAAGAAAAGAAAAACGGCGTATCTAGGTCACATCATGCGAAATGAAAAATACCAGTTCCTCCAACTTATAATCGAGGGTAAAATTGAAGGCAAGAGAGGAATGGGACGCAAGAAAATGTCCTGGCTCCGAAACATAAGGCAATGGACAGGGATTAACGACATACAATCTCTGATACATATTGCAAGAAATAGAGAGTTAATGGAAAATGTGATCGCTAACATCCATTAGTGGATTTGCATCTGAAGAAGAAGAAGATAACTATTGACGAAATTAAAAATGCGCTTCGGGTGATGAAGAACAATAAATCCCCAGGTGAAGACAGGGTAATGACCGAAAGCCTAAAGATCCTTTAGGAGGAAATAAGCTCTTACTGACACTTGCCAACTGTTCAATAAATGTCTGTGCGAAGCGATAACACCGACGCAGTGGAACAACGCGGAAATCATCTTACTTCATAAGAAGGGAGATATCAGCGACCTTAGAAACTACCGCCCCATTAGCTTGTTGTCACAAGTATATAAGCTATTTACAAGAGTTATTACCAACAGGCTAGGAAGTAAGTTGGATTTCTATCAGCCAAGAGAGCAAGCAGGTTTTAGAGCAGGATATGGCACGAATGATCATTTACAAGTAATTAAGAACTTAATAAAAAAGAGTGTTGAATATAACAAGCCATTAGTCATGATATTTGTTGACTACGAAAAAGCTTTCGACACAATAAGTCATCAAAAGATGTTAAAAGCCTTAACAGAGTGCTGTATAAATCATCGCTATATAAACATGATAAAATACATTATCAAAATGGGACAGCAAGCAAGCGTGAAACTGGTAGATAAAAAGACCAACGTATTTAAAATAAAAGAGTGCGACAGGGAGACACAATTTCGCCAAAATTGTTTACAACATTATTAGAGCATATGTTTAAGAACGCAAATCTGAGTGAAAAAGGAGAAATGCTTAGTCATTTGAGGTTTGCTGACGATATTGTCCTTTTTGCTGACAGAATCGATGATGCAGTATCGCAACTGAAGAAACTATACCTAGCCTCCCTACAAGTTGGATTAAAAATCAACCATACAAATCATGACAAATCTTGTGTTAAGTGAAAATATTTCAGTAAATGGCATGCATATTGAAGAAACCACCTCTTATATGTACTTAGGACATGAGATACGCATAGAAAGAGATAATCAAACATGCGAACTAAGCCGCCGCGTAGGACTCACTTGGGTGGCATTCGGCTAGCTGAGCTATGTTGTTAAATAAGAACTGCCTATGTGTTTTAAAAGAAAAGTCTTTAATCAGTGCGTGTTGCCAGTACTTACATATGATGCAGAGACATTAACACTAACCAAGAAAGTAAGAAATAAAATTTGTGTTACCCAAAGAGCCATGGAACGATCGATGTTAGGCATTTCTCGTAGCGATCGGATCACGAACAAGGAAATAAGACGGAGAACAGGAGTGACAGATGCCATAGAAAGAATTATGACCCTTAAGTGGAACTGGGCACATAGCTAGAATGTCGGATAACAGATGGACACAGCGAATAATACAGTGGAGACCGAGACAAGAAGCACATCGAAGTAGAGGTCGTCCACCAACAAGATGGTCTGATGATATAAAACGACTGATCGACAAAAATTGGATACAAACAGCACAAAACAGAAATACATGGAAAAGACTGAGGGAGACCTATATCCAGCAGTGGATAGATCCGGGTTAAATGATGATGAATATGGTCTCCAACTGAATTATATCATGAAAAAATTATGTGTAACGAAGAACTTTGAAAATTTCACATGGAAAAAGCAAGTATTTTTCATAAAAAATTATAATTCCTGAGTTACTTTGCAATATTTTAGCAAACTTAACAACAATTTAACATGGTGTACATGTAAAGGCATTGACAATGGTCAACCAATGATAAAATGTGAAAATGAAAACTGCAGTATTTCTTGGTTTCACTTTAAATGTGTGAATCTCTTAGAGGTACTTAGTACCTTATGGTTTTGTGAAGCTTGTTATTCTTAGATATGGAATCTTTAATTTTTACTATGTCAAGTAAATTTTTTGTTTGTAAATATTAAATTAATAATTAAAAAAAATAATTAAATTATCAATAAAACGTAAATATAGTAAATTTGTTTCTCAATTAATTTTTTTAATGTTGGCATTATCTTTATTTTGTATTCGAACATAATATGGTATATAGTTGTGAATAAAACAAATTCAAAATAAATGTTTTTTTATTACAAATGTATCAAAATTATATGTTATAGAAATTGAATATCATTTGTTAAGCAATAATAACAATATAATATTGGTGCAACTGTTTCCATTCTGTGAGTGTCTTTTAAAAAAAGTTTCAAATTTTAGAGCAAAATGCTTCTTTATTCATCAATTACAAATTCCAAAATATTAAAAGTACAATTTATTACGATACTTTGAAAATGAGAGAGAATAATATGCTTACATTACACTTTAAGTTTAAAAAAAAATAAGGAAAAAACAAGAATCAAATTATAATTAATAGAACTGAATGTACATAAAAGTTGAGAG